ACGACTATGTGTCTGGAAGAGTGAAATATGACAAAGGTAGTCTTAAAGTTTGTTTACATTTAAAGAAAGTTTAACATGCGCCAGAGATTGGTCATTACACACACTGACTGCTAGTAATGTCTTTAATCTAAATGGTCTACATAGTTGGATTAACACTTGGTATGTTAGAATGGGACCTTGTTAGCACAAGAGATTTGTAGTGACAGAAATCATTTATCCTGCCAACTACTTTACATGTAATTTATACATTTCTTATTTTTATTCTAGTATTTTAAATACATGACTTTTTTAATTTCAGTAGTCACTTTGCTGAGCATGATTCTTAAAAGCAACATTAACTAATTGCAAGACATAAGCCCAACAACTGCTGCTAGGTTCATGCAGTCCTTAAAGACACAAAAAAATGATGAAAATCCCCAAGCCAAAATCATTAAGATTTTATAGGCTCTCCACAGCCCTCTCACACCCAGTCTCTCTCTCTCCCACACCCCCACACGCACTCCCACCTTCAATCACCCTACATTGGTGCTGACATTAACAATGCACATAAATTTCAAGTCAGCTGGATGATAACTTTGGATTTTTCAAAGTAGTCAAGGGCAAGTAATTAGTCTAAAAATGATTATGATAAATTATTGAAAATATAGGTAAATAAAAATTAAAGGAAATCAGCAGATAAATAGATTGTAAAATTTTAATTTACTGCAATCTGATAAATCAGTTAACATTCAGATGTAATAAAATATCAAAGTGTGGAAATTTCAGATCTTCAAATTATGCAGTAGTTCAAATTTTACTGGTTGATTAATAAAAACAAAATGACTCAATGTTTTAATATTGCAAATGAAATAAAGATCAGCAAATTTCATTTTAACAGTTGATTTTGACAAGCAGATGGACCAAGATGGGAAAAATACATATACTTATATATTCTTTGAATTTAGTTTACAAGGACTTTTAAGTCGTGACTTACCATGTCTACATTTGTAGTATTTAAGGATGGACATGTATTTTGTTTGAAACAGCATCTGTTATTCAATACATGTACATGATCTATGGATAGTTTCCAAAAATTCCTCTAATGTGCTTGAAACAGAATAACAAAGTATGGATAAGATTACAACATAGTGAACATTTATGTTAAAGCATATGTTTGTCCTTGAAGTACATCCATCATAGAAAAATAAGTTGTTGAATAATAAACACTTTGTAGGCCTATGTGGGAACAGCTACATGCATTGACGAACACATGAAAGTAAACGAAAGGTGTTTTCTGGAATGTTTAATGAATAGAGTGCCAGTTTTAACAAATGTATGATATATTTTTGTTTGGAAATGAACATATTAAAAAAGGTCTACTGTATAAACTATGCATTTACTTCATACTAGAGGTGAAACAACCTGAAACATCATCAGCATTGTGAGAAGAGAAGAAAGCAGTTTAGTTGTTCAAGATTTCCCAAAAGATTGTCTTCTAATTGCTCACCTGAGCCTTTCTGTTCTTTTCTTAATGCCTGTACTAAACATGAAATAAATTGACTTTCAATGTCTCTAAAAGGAATATAAAGCCATATTGAAATGGTCAATTAAAGTGAAAAGTATAGAGTTGAAATGCTAATTAGAAAGTAAAATTAATGACCATTCTTGTCACAGTCTCAGTACTTTTCATTAATTTTCTTGTGTTTATCTAGTTTGACTTGACATAAAGGTCTCTTTACTTTTATGTTAGTTAAATACCTAGGTTTTTTGTCCCTACAGGTTAATAGGGTTAATCCCTAGTGGACGTAAATACTCTTTAATGTTGACATAGGGTAGAGTAGTCCATCATACCATCATGGTTCGGTCAGTTTGTCCTATTTATTGTAGAAGACCTATCTGTAAATTAAAATATAACAACTTATGGTTACGGATTCAAAATTCTATTTTTCGTACCTAATTTAGCAGTCTTACATGCCTTCAACATATCTAAATACATGATATCCTTCCTCATTTAAAAGTTTTCATTCAGAAATAAAACATGAAATCCACAGACTAGGCTAATAAAGACAGGCATCATGCAATGTGCTGTGGGAGACTTTTTGCTTGGTCAGGAGGTTTCTGTCTACTCTTCATCCAATTCCAACTGTCAAGAGGTCTTTTATGCGCCCACCACAGTTATCCCTCTCATCCATTTGCCAGCCCACTGTCATGCATCACTGACTCGGGGATGGGAAACCAGCCTGGAAAAATTGTGCCAATTTTTGTCAGCCACCACTAGGGTCGAAACTGGGGACCTCCTGGTGAGCCACATACTCACTGAGCCAGGTCTTAATTAAGACAATCAATCTTGACTTTCAGAAATGAAATAAAGGATTCTGTGGAGCATCTCATTCATTTACAAGAAAAACTTTTGTCTACACTTCAAATATTAATGCTACCGGCATTGGTATTAAATTAAATACATGTGCATGAATAATATTCCATAAATGAGATATTAATTGTTGGATATATCATGAATATTATTTTAGTATGGTGATGTTATCATGCTTTTCATGCATGAAAATTACATACCTGAATAAAGACTTCATTATAAACAATTATAAATAACCTTAATTCTTTGGGTCCCTACAACATCATGACATTCAAAAACTTGAAATTGAGAAAATAATGTTCAAATTATGAATAGTCCAATACCCAGAGTTATCAGTTATTATTTTTAATTGTGGAAAAATAGAATTATGAAAATTTGTATGCTCTCGGAGATCCTTTTCCTCTTTGGACAGGGTGGCAGAGGATATTTGAAACCAAACCCTGCATTACTCAATGTCCCAATTCTGTTCAGCCATATTTCTTAAAAGTTTAACAAATGACAGGTTTGAATTTACTTAAAAAGTCAAAATAAAACACAAAATAACCAGTAGTAGTATAAGACTTGTAGAACAACTTAACAAATCTTCCTTACATTATTAGTGTAAATTACCACTAAAAGTGATAAATAAAGTATGACGTCACTTGTTATCTCCTGGCTTTGTTTGATCACAACTAGAGATTCTTTGTACATCTGACAAGAATCTGAGATAATTATTATAATTGCCCTCAGTTGTGTCATGGGTGAGGCTTCTGCTACCAGAAAACATTCATTTTGATAGCAATTTGGGGGCATTCTTGACATTACCTTTAGACCTAAGTGTCTGGGCCTTCACAAAGAATCACCTTAAAAATACCATTTTCTCCATTAGATACAAGATGAAAATGTCTAAATCTGCATCTCATTTACACTGTGAAGATGGCTTTCATAATGATATAACAACCCCAGTCAGGCATGTTGTATAGCTTATCATGTCGGCCATTAACAGAGATTGAAAACACCATCATGCAACACCCTTGGCTAATTGGTGTGAAAATCACCTTCCTCGAGATGTATGACTGGGAAAAAAGTTCAGATGTGGAGATTCAGATGTATGCTCAATAGACCTGATTATCACGATCAACCTTTTATACCAGTGGTATCGTAGTACAGATAATCCTTAGAGATTACATAAAGAATATGTTTTCATATTATACCTGTTTTTGTTTATCTACTGAACCACACAGCACCTTGAGACAAATTGTATTAGCAAATGCAAAGGTTTAGATGGGGAAGATTGGTGAAAAGGAAATATGTTTGGAAACGTCATGGAAATATATGACGATTGAAAACTTCTGTGATCAGTACCAATTGCTATTGAATACACAAACCATATCAGCTGTGTAAATTTTCACACTGACATTAACACCTCTTCAATGGCCAAACTCTAGTTACTACCTACTTATTGTTAAGAATTGATTTTTTGAATCTGTGAAAAATATGCCCCCAAATAAACCAAATTATTAAATGATGACAAATATCAATTTTAAGAGTGTGCATATTTGTTGTTTTTTTTGTGCTTTTTTTGACTAAACATCTGTTAAAGATGCTTGCTATAATAGATTACATGTCTGGCATTTCTTGCTGGGATCAAAATCATAGGAGTGGAAGGGTTGCTGTAATAATTGCAGTGTAATCTGTCCCAAAAGACTCTAGCAGAGATTCTAATAATTCTAGACATATTGGAATCTTGATTTGATATCTGTTAACTTCCAATCCAAAAAACTCATTAGATATGATAAATGACCTTACTAGTGATGGATAGTAGAATCTGTCATTTTTACCATGTAAATGTTTCCATCTTTCATCGCATTTTGAATTATCTCCCTTTGCTAGCATAACTGTTAATGAAAGCTTTTAACACCTCATTCACATCACAGAAGATGCCAAATACCTTGTATTATATGTATAGATCATTATAAATAAAGATGATTTATAATTGAAGGTACTCTAGAAAGGAAAGGAATATGTATGTTTAAAAACAGTAAGATCAACGACCTTCATCTGGAACAAAATATATGTCAAAATATGTTAGTTGTTAAATAGTTTTCATATTTCTGTAATTTACAAGAGCTAAACTTCTTGATTTAGATCAAAATGAATTATGAAATTGTGTTAGTTTGATGTGATTGAATATTTGTTTCAAAAGAGACAGCAGAAGTGGGCTTGTTTACTAATTTTAGTTTCAGTTTTGACTTACTGTAACACAGTGTCACATAAAATTAGTTATATCTCAATAAAATTTCCAAGAAACAGACTGTCATCCCACAAAACAAATCAAAATAGAAAATCTCATGAAACCGAAACGTTTATTTTTGGCCTGTATTTAACAACTCTGATTGCCTATTAAAGACTCTACTATTATATGGAATATAATATAAGACACTGATTAAGACTGTTGATGGCCATTCTATTCATCTGGTTTGCAATCTGTCAAACTATTTTATTTATGTTTGTGGGCGTTCAAAATATAGATTTTATATTAAAGGACATTCTATTGATTACTTGTATGTAATGTTGGTTGGCATTGATGAATATTCAGTCATCTGTTTTATGTTGTAAATTAAATAAAAGGAACACCATCTTATATTTGTGTATTTTTGTATATTTCCAGGTCCACCTGGTAACAAAGGTGATGCTGGTCCAAGTGTAAGTATTTTTATTATCTAAAATATCTCAGGTGCTAATGTGTCAAAAGCACTCTCGTTAATGTGTGGGCCTGCCTTAATGACCAGGCGGTTTCTTTTCTGCGCCAACAGCAGTTGTTACTCCTGGCAACAGGGGATTGTCAAACCCTTAAAGTTAACATTCTGTCCTCTTTCTGGTTGTAAATATAGGAAATTTTACATCAATTATTAAATTAATAGTAAGTTTAAGGCTTAATTGTTAGTGTATATAGGCATTCTGAAAGTTGCTTTGTAGAATTTATTCTTTCTGGACAAAATGGTCACAATCGCATTACAGGAATATCCGTTAGTTTCAAATGACGGAAGCATTGAGCTGATGAGACATTAATGTCCATTCTAATTTTAGGATTTGTATAATAACAGTATGCACTATTAACTATTTTAAGATATTCTAAAAAAAATGGACGCATGAACAGTTACAATTTGGTGATAGATGTTGTTTTTCTAATTAAGCAGTAATGATATTTAAACATTGGAGACTATTGGTTAAAATAATTTAATAAACTTAAGATATATTTATAATTTAATGCTGCACAGCATAATGGTGGACTCATATAAGTACAACACATTATATTCACTGCATGATATGTGTCAGTTCATATCATTCACTCAATATACTGTATAATGATTACAATTTGGGTAGTCCTTTGTAAATTATGGATGAAATTCCCAACAATATTTAACATCTGGAGATAAATATATTCATATATATCACCTTTCCTTCCCACCTGGAACCTTCTTCCCTTCTTTTACCGGTACCATCATTGTAAACATTAATCATTTCCCATTCCAAATTGAAGAAATGCTTCATTTCTATTCATTTGTACACCCTAATTATATAATTGTTGTGTATTATATATTGTTATAATGTGTATTGTTTACAAAATGTGTTTTGTGTGTATTTTATCATTCCAGGGCCCTAAAGGAGAAAATGGTTTTCCGGTACCCCTTTCATTTATCTCTAAATCTAACTTTCATTTCAAAACATCTAGTTCCCATTTAATGATACAATAGTTGATGAATATGAATGAAACCCCTTCTACTGTGTTCAAAACCATAAAATATAAAATTCATGATTTGAATATGAAATATAAATGGGTGATGTAATATCATATCTAGGTCTGTAGAGACACAAAATTGGTCTATTAGGTTATTAACTACAGCCAGAAAGGCTAGTAATGTTGTCTGGATCCACACACAGATTTGCGACATATTGTCCCCTTTAGTAATACTTAATCTGGCTGTGAATATATTTCACTGAGATATTAAACAACCTGGAAATCAAGTTAAATCAGCTGTTTTAGTTTAAAACTCAGTTCAAAAGGGTAGCAGCCACTAACATGTATTACTTGACACACATCACTCTTTATCTCTAAATGGAGCTAGTTTGGGCCTGAAAAACTACTGGATAGCAAGTGTTTTTCCTCCAATGGATACACATCAAAATGAGTCTTGAAATTGTCAGAAAAATGAAAATGTAAAAGAGTTAGCCATTGTATATTGAATGGAACTAGATATTTTGATGTATATGTTTCTAGTTTTGTATCCTGTCTATTCTCATTGTCCTAGATTTATTATCTCGGTTTATTTCTAGCTTTATTTTCATGCTTTGTTTGTCTTACCACCAGGTGATAATATTATTGGCATTAGCTTCTTACACTTTAACATTAAAACTACATAATAACATGCAAACATGCAGCTTCATGCTTAATGGATAATAACAGTACAATATATAAAGGTGTACTTAGAGAAATAACAGTTATATCATTCTGACTTCTATCATTTGTAACATTATTGAACTCCATTTGATGATATCATACCTTTTAGTCTGGAAGTCTTCACATGAGCAGACTTACAGAAATAGAGTGATTGATATAATATCAGTGCAGACGGTCATGTCATGTACGAGGAGTGCTAGCTGAAGACACAGCTTGTTCCGTTTTTATAAAGAGTCGAACTAAAAGAATTAAGCAACAAACTGATGTTAAAAATCTCCTCAGCTTTGACAGAAACTAGTGGAGAGGTGTTTTGTGTGGGTTTACACAAACATGTTTGTAAACTAAGAAAAGAAACAAATATTTTACCATTTATTTGCTGATTTATTTTTTGAACATTGTCACAAAATTTTCCCCAAAACTGGATGGTTCTTCGCACTAGCTTTTTGTGTAAGAAAAACAACAAAATGATTAGATACCAGAATGATATAGAAAAAGACTAAAATGCTATTTACTTAGCTAATATAGTTAGACAGTAATAGCTTACATGATAAATATAACATCTAAAAATAGAAAAATAAAAAACCGAAGTGCTTCCAATCATATCTGCTTTTTGATGAAGTAGAAAATATAAAAATGATTGGATTTTATGAACATGGGTGAAAAATGTGTTGAGACAAAATATGATCATGGTTGATGATGTCATTATTTTTAGGGACCAATGGGTTTACCAGGATGGCCAGGCCAACAGGTAAGAATATTAAATCTTTTTTCTGTAGAGAATCATGCAGCAATAAAAACAGTAGTTTCCATAATCTGCTGACATTCAAAATTCTTTAAAATTCTGTTCTGATGAAATGGATAAAACACCTTTTATTTTCGAACTTCACGTGTAGTTCAAAGAAAGATGTTTTGTTTCTGGCATTCAGTTCTTGAAGCTAAACCTATAACATGGGTCTGTGTGCAGCTTTTGTCCGTCTGTGGATAAGTAAAACTACCAAGTGTAACGATCCATGATATAAGTAGTAGTAGCATGGTTAGTAGTATGGTTGAATGATATTACACGGTATAAAACATAGAAAATAGACTGATAGATCTAAGACAACAAATCATTTGCCTGATGTTGGAATTATAAACCACACTCCTGATGTTTTAACAATATGTTCTTGTAGTAGCAGATCTAAAATGCTGCTCTTTGGATGTATGTGGTATTTGGTGTTGAGTTTTATGAAAAGTTATGTTGATCCAAAGTCACCAGTTGTCAAAAGGCTTATTTATTGCTGAAAGTCCAAATAAACTACATGAACTCAAATTATCAAACAATTACATAAATAGTATATTCTAATACCACTTTGGATGCTAATTTTCTTTATGGAAGTTAGTAGAGCAATTAAAAGGGTTCCATTTCCAGGGGTGTATCCAGGAATTTGAGTTAAGGTAGAATTGGTTTAATCTTAGTACATGTATTTGTTCAAACTCTAAAGAAAGTTGTGTTATATAGCTCATATAATTTGTCCAAACAATCTGGATTGTACTTTTCAGTAACTGTAATCTGTTAAATTGTTCACTCAAAATAAAATTATCGAGATGAAGCAATGAGTGCAGCTGATTTGATTCACGATTAGACTATTTTATATTAAGAAACATATCTGTTTGATCTGTGTACAGGTTATTTGTGTTGGCTATGGTGAGTGTATAATGTAGATCCCATACAAATCTGCAGTTGAGATCTAAGTTAATTCATACAAATTCAATAAAATTCAGGTGAAAATGTTGATGATAGATTTTAATTTGTGCTCCTGAAAAAATAATTTAATTTTCTTCAAAACATGTTTTCGGATAAAAGATATCTAATATCTCATTGGAATGTAGAAATCACTGATGCGTCAAAATGAAAAATATCTATTTAATTGTTAACTTTTGAAACTAAAAAAAATGTGTCACAACTTCACATTCCTTAAGCAATTCACAAATTTCTTTTGGTAAGATTATATACTGTTATTGATAAGTTTGTTGCTTGACTTAAAAAAACATGAAATGCTTTTAAGTTGAAACATGTATTAAGTTATCAATGATTACCATCTTTGAAATAGGATTGTAAGATAATAAATTATAAATTCAAGGAAAACCTTCATTCAGTTCTCATAAAAAGCCCATAAACAGTCAGTGAGCCATTATTTATGACTCCGCTACAAATTAATTTAAATTTTAGTGTGCCTAGCTAATCGGTTTCGTGGATAAGCCTCCATCACTAAAACCACATGAAGAAATTGATACGAATCTGATACTTTTGACAAGGTAGATTAAACTTTTTGAATCTGAGTATCTAGTAAATTATAAGATAAATACTCCACTGTATAGAGCAGGGAAAAACATTTGTCGAGTCACTGTTGGCAATGGTCATTCACAGCTGAAAGTCAAGTGGCATGGGGTCCCTGAGAAAATCCCCTGGAGTTAATTTAGCCATCCTAATATCCTTACAATATCAAAAGATACTGACCTATATTTAAGTCTTAATAGTTTTGCACGAGATATGACCTGTTTGTGGTTGGTTAAATAAATATGTAAAGATTTTTGTTTTGAAGATTTGTGATCATTTTCTATTATATTGTAATGCATCTTACTAAACATGCTGTTTCAATAGATTGTTATCAACTTCCTCAAGTTCATTTAACAGTGATAAATAAGTACTTACAGTATTATTATTTTTTTAATTTTAAAGGAGCCAAGTCTTTAACTCAATATCATCCACAGTCTTCAACATTGCAAACATGACTTATTGGTCTGTTTAAATCAACATTGATGTTGTTATCTCCCCGTGAAAAGTTTGGCTTCTGATATCCAATATTTAAGACTAAATGAAATTTCTAAATTGGCACACAAATCCCGTGCCAGATTGCTTTCAAGCACCATTTGTATGATGCGACTCAATAAATGAGGCTAAACATAATGTAGGAAAATACTAAAGGTGTGGACTGGAATAACCAGACACCAAAGACTTCCATTCAATTTGGACTCTTCACGTATTTCGCTGAATATAACTGATTAGAAATTACACTAAAAACAGAAACGATTGAGTGTAAATGAGTTTATATACATTCATATTACATTGTTATATGCATTGCAACCCATTTGTATCCATTTCTAGCTGCAAAAGAATAGCGATTTAGCTCCTTGAAGGAAAATCGTCTTAATTATTAACTGGGTAGATTATAGTTAATTTTGAATTTGAATAAAGCAAAAACATCTTAATTTATACACTGTGTGGATATAGCTATAGAATATATATATATATATTAACTTAAAAAAACCTCTCCACCACATAGCCTTTATGGTTTTGCATATGCGCAGATAGCAAGATAGTGTGAAGCTATAAAAGGTTCCAATCGTCTTTTTATGTGCCCAAATTTTCATGTGGATGTATATTGTCACCGCCCCCGTCAGTCCATCTATCCATTCAGATTTGTTTGTTGACACTTTAAAGGTCACAATTTTTATCTAATTTTGACGAAACTGGAAATATAGGTCTATCTCCCAAAGATCTTGGCTCCTTTCAATATTGGCATGTATCTGACCATAACTTCATGGATTGTGGCCCCTGATTGTACGAAAAATCACATTTTTAGCTTGTGGACACTCTAGAGGTCATAATTTTGATTTGATTTTGATGAAACTTGAAATTCATGTTTATAACTCAAAGATCTTGGTTCCTGTTGATATTCGTGCATATCGGATCGTAACTCCCTGAATTTTAGCTTGTGGTCCCTCTAGAAGTCACAATTTTTATCTGATTTAAACAAAAGTGTGAATATATCACCGTTACACCCTAATGATGTTCCTTTTAATATCTGCACATAAAAGACCGTAACTTTCTGGATTATGGTCCCTGTTTGTACGAAAAATCGCATTTTTATCCAATTTTAAAAAACGTTTAAATTTATCACCATTACACCCTAATGATTGTTGAGTTCCAATTTCATGAAAATTGGACCAAAACTGTCTGACAAAATGGCGGCTCCTTTCGCTATTTGCACATATCAGACCGTAACTTCCTAGATTATGGCCCCTGATTGTACAAAAAATCGTGTTTTTTAGCTTGTGGATTCTCTTGTGAAGGTTGTATTCGAATTTTCGGAAAATCGAAACGAAACTGCCCGACAAAATGGTCGCTCTTTGTAATCAAATTGTGTAAAAGTATGTAATACGAAGGTTGTGGACCCTCTAGAGGTCACGATTTTTAATTGATTTTGATGAAACTTAAAATACATGTTTATGTCCCAAAAATCTCAGTCCCGTTCATTATTTGCGCACTTCAGACCATAGCTTTCTGGATTGTGGCCCCTGATTGTAGCTTGTTCTCTATTCATCTGTTGCAAAATGTGGGCGTATCTTGCCTGGCAACCGCTGGTTCAGTTTATATTTATTATGTTGTTGCTTTTAGAATGGTATCGATATTGTCATACCTATAAACGGCCCCACACCCTCTCCATCACAATTGAGTTTTGGCATTGTTTCCCTTTAAGTTATTTGATGTTATTACATGCCTGTATGGACATAGCCCCATACAAATATCTCTTTCTAATAGTCCTTTTGTCTCAGTAAATGCTGAAAGAAAGATAAGGTATATCGAAGAATCAGTGGAGTCATATTTATGTAGATTAAAAAGAAAATAGGAGGTTAGTCAAATATTAGGAGAGGACCAATCATTGTAATGTAGAAAACTAAAATTTAGTATTCTTGTATCACTAGAATGAACTCATACTTCCAGTCTAATATTACATACTGTTTGTGTAATGTCTGAAAGTAGATCACCGATTATCAGTTCAGACATCATCAGGTTTAAGAAAGTTATCGCATTGAAAGATGAAAAAAGATCACCAAGGTGAAACAATAATATATGATAAATGCCAGTATGTAATTAGGTGTTGATAGTTTAATATCTATACTGATTGAGTAGTAGAGTATTGTCTCAACATTTTCTACCAGGTCATAGTTATCTCCCCATTAGTCTCCCAATACATTTTCTCTACTATTTCTTGGAATTACAGATGTATTTTAATCAACTGATATATTATTTCAGGGCATTCCAGGTGAAAAGGGCCAAAAGGTAAATAGTGCATAGTTTTAATATTTATAGCTTCTGTGTGTTTTAAAAAAGTTTGAAGGAAATTTTGTAAACATGATTCATGTAAATGAAAACTACTACCTATAAAACATTAAATAAAATAGTATAACAAATGATCATTTAGGTTATATATTTTTTTGTGGGTATGAGGAGGGATATATTGATTTAGTTCTTGTTATAATATATGAGAATGGTCTTCTGCTCTACAATTTAAATAACATACTTATAGAAAACAAATATGTATGGGAGAGCATTCTCTCAACATTATCACGGTATTGTCAGCATCATTGGCTGAATAATGCTAAAAGAGAATATTATTTGAAACATCACCCAAATAGATAAATAATTGTTTTGCAGAAGTATGTGTTATAGTTTATGGCTCTGTCCAGTTTGTAAATGTCTAAAAGAGGGGGGTTGGGTGGCCGAATGGTTAGCACGTGCATGCTGTATCATACGGCCTGTCATGGAGTCAACTGGCGTGGTTTCGAATCCCCGGTTGTACGTGACAAGGAGTAGGGTCGCCTGTCCAACCTCGTGGGTTTTCTCCGGGTCCTCCGGTTTCCTCCCACTGCTAAAGACCCCTACGTGCAAGCGAATTAATGAAATAAAATTAAAACCATATGTTAGTCCCGAAATGACCTAGTTTGTGTTGAGTTGACGTTAAACCCCATTTCTCTCTCAAAAAGATAATTAAAATGATGTGATATATAACTACTGTATTGGATAAAATGTTATTATTCTCTTTTATTTCATCTTTCAGGGGACATCAGCAAATATAGAATATATACAAAATTTAGTTAATAATATAAAAATACCACCAGGTCCCCCTGGACCTGTAGGCTTACAAGGTCCCCCAGGTAGACAAGGGTCTACAGGTTTACCTGGATCTCCAGGGAAACAGGTATTCGTTCTTTTAGCTCTTTGATTTTTGAATGTTTTTCTTGAATTTAGATGTGGCAAATACACAATTATTGTGTATTTGGATGATTCAAAATTTATTGTGTTTCTGTATTTATCATTTTTAGTCCATTGAGTAAATAACTCAAATGTGTATGCTGTCATTCTCAAGTCAGCCCATCTGGTTTATACAATTTATGTAATTCTTCTAGATCTTCTGATATGAAGCCATTTCATGAATGGGTGGTGGGAATTTGATATAGATCTGCTCATTAAAGAATTTCTGTATCTCCAGGGTAAAATTATCAAGTGATTAATTTTCTTACATTTGTTCAATAATATATGAACATAATTTTAAATTTGCAGGCATTCATATTCATACCAAGCCAACTCTTTCGTAGACATGTACTCAATAATCAGCAGGTGACGCACTGCCCTTACATGGATCTCATAATTAGAACATCTAGAGATATCCATTATGTTACATACGCTTGTATTCTTTAGAAAATCTCTTAAAAGTAAATTAAATCCAGTTAGGAGGAAAACTTATACAATTGTTTATTGGTACATTTTTGCAGGGGTTTCCAGGACAAAGAGGTTACTCTGGCTTTCCGGTGTGTTATTAAGTTACATGATTATTTTTTATATCTAATTTTATCCTTGATCCACCCAGTTTTTTTTACCCCTGACATGCCACCACCATTTCTGCATTTGATTTTAAGTTTTTTTCCAACTATTGAAAGAATGAGATATATAGTTTTACTTTATGGCTACACTACTGTCTAAAATAAATCATTTCCATGATAAAAGAAATTTAAAGATGAGATTTCTGCATGAAAGATTTAAGTTAATAGTCAATTTTTTCTGAGGGTACATACATACCAAAAAAATAAAAATGAAAAGAACTAGGAATACAGTTAAAATACTTTAAAAATAAAATTCTAACTTTTATGGCACGCCTTTCTGTGAAATCTTTGTGGGGTTTACTTCGACCTGGGTTTCTGATATATAAATGGAAAGTTTTGTTTTTTGTCTTGTTCTGTTTTGAATAACCTTGGTTTACAATTTATAAAATATAACTGCATTTTTATTATTACTTATATTTCAGCACCTGATTCAAGAATTTATGTATTTTAAGCACAAATATTCACTCACGATTCTCATAAAATTCTTGGAAACTTTTTAAATTTTTTTGATTTTTGATATATTTGGAAGCACTTTCTATTTTTATTACTAAACATTTAGCATGATATATCTTAACATCTTTCAGGGTAGACAACATTGATTGTAAGGAAATATTCTAAACTCATAAAAATCAATTCTCAATGCCCTAATACATTTGTGCCAGATTTTCTTGAGATATCACATCCAGTAAATTTTTATCTTTTCTAGTCTTCATATTGGATCTGTGAGTACTGTTCCAGTTAAAAACACAAACACATATTCCCATGTTTATTATTTTTAGCACAAAATATGAAATAACTTTAAACTTTTTTATGTTGCTTATTTCTGTTCTGCATTGGCTTGGTCACTTTTTTGTCCTTGACTTTTTCCTGGTTATCTTTATTTTTTTTTATTGCAATATTTGGTGATGGTGCCAATTGTTTTTCAAATTCAGAAAGATACTTTTCTATAATCTTTTTAATTCTATATTTAAATGAAATACATGTATTCTTTATAAACTGGCTTCACTCCCAATTTCTTATGTGTAAGAATTGATAGGATAGTACTTAAAGGAATTGATGTGTATGTATTCAGAGTGATGTAGAATTACTGACTCCGGATATGTCAGGATTAGAAGTTTAAAAAGCCATCACACCTGTTTAGTTCATTTGAGTACTAATTGTTCAGTCTGATATGTCAGCCGTAATTTCACACACACTGACTAAACTATTCAGCTATTAGCCCAAAAAACTGAAACCAAAATGAACTCAATCTACAGATTAATTATGAATTTAACTGATAAATAAGAAAAACATTAGTAGAAGAGTTTTGAGTGCTGCTTAGTATTATGTAATAGTTACATGCATGTTATAAATTATTATAAGATATTGCTTTAATTGTTCATGGCTTTAATGTTTATTAATGTTGTCTTGGCTTCAGGGTCCAATCGGTCCACCTGGAAAAAGTGGCTTGCCTGTGAGTTATTTCCCTTAGTAGAAAATAAGTTTTAAAGACTAACTAACGATAAACTGATTGTTGGTTATGTCATTATGAAAATTAATTATGCTTTTATGTAAAGAGATACTGTGATTTGTAGTTAATCAATTTGTTGAATAATAAAAATGTGCTGCATGGCAAAAAATTAACATTTTGTCAGTGATTAGCATGAAACATAGAATTAATTTAATACCGTACAAATAATGATATATTTATTTCTTTCTTCTTTGTTCTGGTTATTTTTTGAAACAATTTTGATTTCAGGGATCAACTGGTGAGAAAGGAGACAGGGGTGAAAAGGTAAAAAATGAGGCATAGCATTACATTTGTTCAAAATTTTCATGACCACAGATTTGGCAATCATTTGTGCCTCTCTAATTTTTCATTAAAGTATTCTTTTAACAAAGTTTGAGTTTACTTCAGGTCTGATGAGTTGTGTTTTTCAGCTCAAGAAACCCTGAATTTGGAATTCATTAAATTTTATAAAAAGTATAATGTGTTCTTAGTTTGAAATATATTCTAAATTTTAATAACTGACACCCTTTGTGCACTTCAATTGGGAATATAACTGAATTTGACATGAAAGTTAAATTGTTATGTATTTTTGTTATTTTTAGGGTGAAAGTGGTGAAAAGGGAGAAAAAGGAGCGGTTGGTTTACCAGGTTTTGATGGTATTAGAGGTGATAAGGTATAGTCGCTAGATTATTAGGACATATTTTTATTTCTTTTTGTTATATGGAATGTAGTTAAAGGAATAAGGGGATTCATTATCAGTATCATATTTATAATTGTCTATTTCTTAGCCACAGCGACATTTCCTTTTCTGATGTATAGGTTTTTTTCTAGAGAAAGATTTTATTTATCAATTTGTTTTTCAGGTCAAGTGTTTGTTTAGACACACAAATGAAGTTGTTTGTAAACACAGATGTATATCTCACATGTACTAGTCTACTAATAGATGCTTTGATTTTGATTGTATAAAGAATTTCTTTCTTGCAGGGCATTAAAAGATCTATCAAATTAGATGGAGAAAGTAGTTTTAGAGAAATCATATCCTTGAAGGTACAAATTATCTCCCTTGACACAATATTACTTCCCCTTAATTTTATCTGTTATCTCTGAACAGAAATATTTTTATTAATCCCTTATATTTTCTGTGATATGATTTAATACAGATATTAAATTGATCTAAAATGAAATATTTTCAATCTGATGAATGATTTACTGATGTTTGGCAGAGGTAGTAGTTGTTATTAAATAGAACTAATAGATTTGATTTCATTATAGGGATCAACATATGAAGTGATAACAATAAAGGTTTGTTGTACATGGCATGGTCTTTGGGTGCAATTTTTAAATACCATAGTTGTTTTGTTTTTTACAAAGAATTTTGTTTACAGAGTATATGTTGTGCATGACTGATGTTAGTCCTGTGATGTTTTTTTGGTTGCATGCTTATTTTTTTTTTATATATATATATATATATATATATGTATATGAGTCAATTGAAGAACAACGGTTTAATACTATTATTCTTTGTAATAAAAAAATTGTAAAAAATTAATAAAAAAACAAATTTTTATCAGTACCTAAGTTTTATGAGCACTTTCTGTTCAGGTTAACTTGGTCAAATTTGATAATGAGCCTTTTCTGTTCATTGCATCAATACCATGAAGACTAAGTGTGAGAATGAGCATTTATAAAGGTGCAACTATTTATTTTGGCATAAGGCAGAGTATATCAGTCTCACTGTTGGCTTGGTTATGTATGAACTAATTACTTTTGAATCATTGTTCTTTAAGATGACCCCACTGTTATGGAAAATATTATCAATTTCCGTAAATCAAAAATTTGTGTTTGATATTATCCCAAAGAATATTACTCCACATTGTAGAAACTTGTTTGCATGTTGAGTTTATAACTTAGTGTGTTGTTGTTTGTGTTTTATGTCAATGTTGCATGATGCATGTTCATGTTTTAGGGTGATTTTGGACCACCTGGTTTACCTGGCCCGCTTAAACTTGAAGATTGGGAAACCAGGATAATAGAAATAAAGGTAGGAGTCGGAAAAAATAAAACCATTGTATTAACAGTATAATCTGAATGGATTTCACGTGGATTATATTGTTGTCGCCCGTATTTGAAATATAGGTTTTTATTCCAGAGATCTTGGTTCCGTTCGACAATTGCAAGTATCGGACCGTAACTGCTTGGATTATGGCCCCTGATTTTACGGAAAATCACATTTTTAGCTCATGTTAATAGAGGTATCTTTATAACATATGAATTTATGTACAAAAATTCAATATGTGATAAATTTTTAGTGAAATTTGTTTGTTGTTACACCGTCATGTATTGCCATCACCACTGTCCTTGTTCTCAGTTGCTAAGGACACTCAAGAGGCTGAAGATATAACCTATGGGAACAACTTTGCTGCTGTGAATGTATGTTTTGTTGTCTTGTCTATCTAAACTAGATGATGAATGGTATCCCGTTTGCATGCTTTCAGTTCCTTTGTTGCATGATACATATTTTATTTAAAAATTTGTTTGAGATATGTGAATATTTGATTTTAAAGAATTATCTTAATTTAGAATAAGATTTGCTTTAGAATCAGTAAAAAGATATTCTTTGAATGGCATTTAATAATTAGAACATAATCAAATAACACACTATTTATGGATAACTATTACTATAGTTTATTTCACTGGGACGTTTCAACAAGATTTCACAAGTCGTTATCAAGCATAACACTTCCTTTTAAAATTTTGCTAAAGATTTATTGCTGTAAGGAACATAGTGTTGTATTTAAGCGAACAGTGAAATAAAAATTGACTTGATTATTTTTCTATTGGGTTTATGTTTACATCACAGGGAGAACCAGGAGAGGGTGGACCTCCAGGACCTAAAGGTGACGTAGGACCATCTGGTTTACCAGGGTTTGATGGTGTACCAGGACCACCAGGTGATCAGGTAAAATATTTTAATTATGACGTATCCAGTTTTAAAACACTACAATAAGAAATCAAAATAAGAGAAGGCAGTGTTTCACTCACATGGCAAAGTTTACCTATAGCACACTTAATTGCATATGACCCACTTCTTTAGTCCTGTTTGGGCAAAAAAGAAAGAAATTAAACTCCATTACATTTTCCAAAGATTCCTCAAAAATCTAAAGAACCGTACCTATGTGCCTTGTCTTTGGTTATCACAAAATGTATCAAATGTTAAAATCTGATGATTATTGTTAATATTACGGCAATAATTTAAAAAAAAACAACTTCAGTGATTTCGGACATTTCACATTGTCGTCGAAAGTTAGAAATAGCTTGAAACTTTTAAGCCAAACCTACTTTCCCTGTAAAACCGAAGACATCGAATTGATCAGACAAGTAGTTTCTGAGATATGCTCAAGTGGAAAAATAATAATAATAATAATAAGGCATGTAATATTAAAGTTTTGTGAATATTTCTTTTACAGGGACCTCCTGGACCAATAGGACCAGCTGTAAGTAAACTAAGTTTTTATACAATCACATTTTGCTGTTGCCCCCGTCAGTACATATGCCTGTCCATCGTCCACAATTCCATGTGAGCACTCTACAGACTACATTTATCATCTGATTGTTTTGAAATTGATATATGCTGTATACAGTGAGATGAAGACGCTATTTCCATTAATTATATCTAGAGTTATGGGCCTTGTTTCACTTTGTTGAACATTGTGAATGCTCTAACAACAAAAGTTATCATTTGATCTGTATGAAATTTATATGCATCATTTAGATTAGTGAAGCGAAGAAAGTTGATTTCTTCTAGAGTTATGACCCTTTTTTCACTTTCTTGACCCTTATGAATGCTTGAATGATGAAAGTTATCATCTGATCTGTATGAATTTTATATGCATCATTTAAATTAGTAAAACAAAGAATCATATTGAATTTCAGCAATTTCCGTTAATTTCTTCTTGAGTTATGACCTTTGTTTCACTTTGTTGCACCTTGTAAAATTTATGCAATTTATACAGATCATTTAAATTAGTGACATGAAGACTTCTATTGAATTTCAGCAATTTCCAATAATTACGTGTTGAACCTTGTGAACATTCGAATGACGAAAGCTATCATCTGATCTGTACGAAATTTATATTGATCATTTAAATTAGTGAAATGAAGAATCCTATTGATTTCAGCAAAGTCAATTATTTACTTGTACTGTTATAGCCCTTGTTACATCTTGTTGAACCTTGTGAACACTGTGATCTGTATGAAATTTATATGCATCGTTTAGATTAGTGAATTTGATCCCTGCATTGGCCGAGAAAGTTCATCCAGATTTTCCGGCGTGGTTCCCCCTTGTCAGTGATGCAGGACAGAGGGCCTGACAAGGACAGCTGTCTAGTCATTCGGATCAGACGAAAAACAGAGGTCCCGTGTATACATTGGAATGCACGTAAAAGATCCCTTGGCAGTTGGAATTCAATATAAGAGTAGGTGATAGTGCCGCTGCCCGGGCAAAATTTCCCTCATAGCACACTGTATGGCGTATGCCCGTCTTCATTAGCCCAGCATAGGAGCAGAACAGTAGGACGTTAAACCCCATTTCATTTAATTCATTTCATTTCATTTCAGATTAGTGAAACGAAGAAAGTTGATTTCTTCTAGAGTTATGACCCTTTTTTCACTTTCTTGACCCTTATGAATGCTCGAATGATGAAAGTTATCATTCAATCTGAATGAAATTCATATACATTATTTAAATTAGTGACACGAAGAAGCCTTTTGAATTTCCATCAATTACTCCTCAATTTATGGCCCTTGTTTTACTTTGTTGAGCTTGTGAACTTTTCGAATGACAAAAGTTATAATCCGATCTATATGAAATTTATATGCATTATTTGAATTAGTGAAATGAAAAATGCTGTCAAATTTCAATAATTTCTGTAAATGACTTCCAGAGTTAAGGCCCTTGTTTCAGTTTGTAGAACCTTGTGAACCCTCAAACGAAGAAAATTATGATCTGATCTGTATGAAATTGTCTTGTAAATAAATGCCCCAAATTGTCTACAAAAGAATAAATATGCGATAACCCTTGTCAACCCCTCGGACTATTTAGCTGCTGTTGGCTTATGTTTCTTGCCTGGCAACCTATCTTAGAATAATTTCTTATTGCCCCCCCATCTTTTGGAGGAAGCAGGATACTAGTGAAATGGATTTGTGTGTCTGTCCATCACACATTTTGGAGCACCAGAAATCTGCTTCCAATTGATTTTCTGGCGTGATTTCCCCTTGTCAGTGGTGCGGGACAGAGGGCCTGACAAGGACAGCTGTCTAGTCATTTGAATGGGACAAAAAAACGAGGTCCTGTGTATACATTGGCCTACACATATAAGAGTAGGCCGCAGTGCTGCTGCCCGGGCAAAATTTTCCTCATAGCACACTGTATGGCATATGCCCGTCTTCATTAGCTCAGTCGGAGCAGAACAATAGGACGTTAAACCCCATTTCATTTCATTTCATTTTTTTGCTTCCAATTGAAGTAGAATGCCCAAACTTTATAAAGGGTCTACACTGTCTTGACAGGGTTCAAAAATGAGCATTTTCTTCTCAGGCTAAGTCTAGAGTTAAATAATTTGATTTTTTTGCTACTTTTGAACATGATAATTGGGAGAGAGTGATAAAATTTGGTGTATATTAGATATGCTCTATGCTTTATAAGATAAATGTGCAAGTTAGTAATGAATGTCATCTATTTATTTTCGTATTTAGACACTGGACATTTACATCTACCTCACTGTTAAGAACACTGAAAACCACACCTCATTTCATGAGTTGTCTTGTAAATTGTTACAATAAAGCTTTTGTAAACAGTAATACTTTTCGAAACGAGGGTGGGGTTTAGGTATGTTTAAAAAAGATAGAATGGAGTGGGATACAAAGATGTTAGGTAGCATTGACACATTTGATCCATCTCTTACAGGGTCCACCAGGAAAGGATGGTTTACCAGGCGAGCCAGTAAGTACCAAATCTATTTTTATGCAATTGTTTTAATATCATATTGTTCATGTATTAATGCATTCATTATTATACAGAAAAAGAAGATTTAATCTTGACAAATTGTTTCCAAATATTCATTCTTAAATGCGAGAAGGATCTGTCTTTGATTTTGTGTGCAACATTGATTAGTTTTCTTCTTCTGTGTAATTTCAGATAATAAAAAGTGACAGTCTGTTCAATAAATCTACAATTTGAAATGTTGTTTTTAAATTACAATGTTGTTATTGAGGTGATTAAACAGATTATGAATGATTATTTCTGATCATAATCAAGGAGGAGAAATTGTTTTTATTTAAACAACATTTTTGTTAAGACACTGTTCTGAAATGAGATTGGGTAACGGGCTAATCTCTTCGAAATTAGGATAAATCAATAACTAGACTGTCACTTTGGAAAAAATGATAAATGTATTTAAAGACACAATTTGAAATGCATCAAACAAGTAAGCCTATACATGGTATTATACATATAAGTAACTGAGATAACTCCACAACTTAAATTGCTCACGTTATTAAAAATTTGAAAAAAAAAACCCATCTCAGTATAAAATGTATGTTTCAAAACTATTCTTCAGATTGTGCCTATAAATACTTGGGACTTATTTATGAAAACTTAACAGATGATCATACTAAAAGCATCTTCATTTAAGTTTTCATGTAGAAGACCCTTCTTTACTGAAATTATGAGAGTGAATTGAATCATAGTGCTTTGGCTGATTGTATGATTTTGAAATGTTTTAAACAAAATTGAAAAACTAATATTTCAGGTAGTGCTTTTAGATTAAATGCTTCAATAACAGTTATGATAGATTTAGTTATTCATAACTTACAGGATGATATCAAATTGAACAATTTTTGAAGAAATCATTCTGGGATAAACGATTGTCTCCCTAATGAGATATTCCCTATTTGGAAAGGCATTTATTAAACTGATAAATGATGATTGATGAATGAAAAAGAGAGGTTTATTAATCAGACTTTCAAGGAATTCAGAAGGGGATTTCGGTCGCAAAGTCATATAAATATGGCTATATTGGACCAGTTTTTAGTTATCGTACTCACGAGCTGGAATGGCATGAAAACGCTTTTGGAGTCGTCTTGTTTCAGGGGTGGCCCTCCATACTCCCAGATGCCATGCTTCACTGGCCGTGACTAAAATTCTTCTAGCATTTCATCCCCCCCCCACCGGCCCGCCTCAGGTCATCTGGTCCATATGCCTATTGGTTAAACATGAAGCTTTTAACACACAAATAAATGAGTGATCGTTTAAAGATGGGTTCCCAGAAAAGTATTTATCGGGTGGTTATTTCCAATAAAAGTATGGCAATTTTGGTATATATGGAAAGTAGAGATATCCAATCTTATTAGAAAAATACTGGATTCCCTGAAAAACACTCATGGTGCGTATACAGGACAAAAATGTAAGGGTTCCCCTAATCAACAGCCCGACGATTAAGAATTTCTGGACGTGTGATGTCAAAAGTCACACGCGAACATTGAGTGCTTGATGTACAAGTTGATAAACTTTATGAAGAGTTAGACGTACAACACTTTCTGAGATAAAAATGACGGAAAAAGACGCGGGTGGTGGATAATCCGAGAATTTAGTTAGGATTCATTATTTGTAATAAATAGTAAGCGATTAAAGACAACATCATCTTATGTATGCAATGAATTCTCCTCTGACCCCCAAGACGTGACGTGAACATGACCTGGTTTGATCGAATTTTAATAGCAGTGAATTCCTTCGCATTTACAATGTTTGAAAAGGATTTGAAGCATAATTATGACAAATTAATTAGTTTGAATATGTTTTTAGTCCATATATCCATTAAATCACCCAGTTTGTACGCGGGAACCCATCTTTAATGCGAAAATTAAAAAAAACAAGTTTTAGAATTAATGTAATCCAAATATTCGAAGATGTGTAAAATATAACTTGTGAGCATAGTAAACCTCTCTTAAAATAAGACTATGTTTCAATACTTATGTAGAAAATTTCTTTATATATCTACATAGAATATCTTTATAACTTTCCGTTCTCTGGTTTCTTTGATTCCTTCTCTTCTATTCTTGTCTATCTTTCTTTCTGATATTATTCTCTATCTTTCTTTCTGATATTATTCTCTATAATATGACATGAACATGTGAAATATGTGTTGTGCTATTCTGTGCACTTCGCTGCCGGTTCCTAACACTGCTTTGCATACTAACAGGGTCCGAGAGGATTCCTAGGGATCAAAGGGGAGATGGGCTACCCTGGTCTCCCTGGGCGGATGGGTGCTAAAGGAATGAATGGAGTAACAGGTAGACCGGGGCTCACTAAATATAATGGCAAACCAGGCCTTCGAGGTCTTCCAGGCATACAAGGAAAGATAGGCCCTATAGGATTAAAAGTGAGTTGAGGCATGTAAACAAATTCTATGGTAATCTATGCATGCATTTTTTTTTAAAACTATTGTGTGGAACTCTCTTTTTTAATGGTTTTTGGGTACTTCTCACTACACTTCACATCAAAATATACTTTCTTGCACATTAGTAAACATGACTGTTCACTATATTATTTTGAGAAAGCATAAAATCTCTCAATTTATGCACCTTGTCATAGTAAAATTATGTTATCTAATTCACAGACACAGCATTTTCAATGTGCACATAATTTTAGAAAAGCAAATGACTTTGAAAATTTGTAATACTCTTGCATCTATTCATAATATCTCTTTTGCAGAATCATTAATTATAGTGATAAATGACTCCTTAGAAGGGGCTTTCAAAAATAAATGGAAGAATTGTTTTTGGTGTGTTTTGATATCAATGATAATGCCTTAGTGAGCAGTCAGTATTTTTTAAAAATCTTTTTTAGTAATCTACTTTAATATTTTATAACTTTGATTAATGCATGGTGTCGTATCTTTTAAGTTCTTCTACTTAATTTTTCTTACACTTTATTCTTTAAAAAAAAAATAAACAATAACAGGTAATTAATCCTTTTATATTAACTTTATTACATTACTAAATGCTAGTGCCTTGAATGTGCACACGTTCACCGGCAGCGCGTCCAAATAAGGTAAGGTAACAGTAGCACGGCTAGTAGATCTATCTGCTTGTGTTACAGGGAGAAAAAGGTGCTAGGGGGGGCCGTGGGGTTGGGTATGACCCTGACGGAAATTTTCCTGCAGGATTTATCCAGGGCCCTCCAGGTCCACCAGGAACGCCTGGGAAGAAGGTAATGTATGGTATCACCAGTGCTTCTTGTTTAAGACTGAACCTTTAGTTATATTATGTATACTAGAACTTTGGTTGGTGCTGTTTGTCTTATTTGTAAGCATGGCTGCTACTAACATTAGGCATTGTCATGTGATATATAATAAACGAATGTCTTGTATGTATCATTATCATCATCACTCATGATCATTTAAACCATTATTTTATGTAGTAGCTTTAAGTGAAACATCAAAATAAAGGTTCTGTTTATTAGCTTTTTTTTACAGACAATAATTATATTCAAGGTTACCTTTTGCTACAGTCACAAACCTAAAACAAAGCTGATATTTCTACATTGGATTCTTGTGGATTAAATATTAAAATCCATCATTTTCAAAAGAACTATTGGAATTTATATCCAATAAAATTAATCAATTTTAGCAATTTTATTAACTGCAACAAAAGGTGCTTAAGCTAGATTAAGTGACTGCAGCAAATGATCATATTAGTTAATTAAGAAATTATGTAATGTGATACTTATGTGATTGGATATGTTCTCATAGTCTTGTGGATCTGGAAAACGTAGACGAACTTGTCGTATGGAAGTAAGAGATATTGTCTCAGTTAAGAAGAATAGAAGACGGAACCGTAAAACTCGCGTCCCCCGAAATCTTAGAGAGTTGCTTAAGACTCCAACAGAGGTATTGAGTAGTTCAACTGTAGAAAATCTATTCTGTAATTTTTAACATTTGCTGCAGTCAACAAAAATTTTATAGTTAATGGTGAAGGTATATATCTGTATGTATGTTTCCTTCCTTTTTTGGTCTTGTTGGTTGGACACAGTGCAATGAAGACATTATTTTATTATCAGTTGAATAAATGGAATGGTAACAATATATTGATTGAGCAATAGATTGATCATAAAAGTAATAAACTCTGCTGTCCTGGTTGTAAAGCAATTTGTAGCGATTAGAAAAAAGGCAGGAAACAACCAGATTAATATGTTAAATAATTTCTTTGCAAACATCATTTATACATTCTTTTGCTCTAAGCAAACTCTTCACTTAATTGTGATAATAATTTAGACAGGACCATATTTAGCAAAAAAAAAAAATAAATAAATAAAAAAATACACACTATAGCTTACAAAATCGAAAAGTACTTATGGAATGAAAACTGCACCAACGAAGTTCAATTTGTAATTAATAAAATTGACAGAATCAAAAATATTTTAAATAAATGTGTTAAAATGGTTCTGTCTAACATGACTATAATATGACTATAATTTCATTATAATTATATTTTTAATAAGATTAGTTTAAATAGTATTTCTTCTATCTGATTACTTTCCTGCTGTAAGCTTATTTTGTAAAAAAGAAACAACAACAAACAAAAATAAATAAACAAAAATATTATTACATTTCTTTTAAAAATTTTGAGGGCTCACTTTTTGAACTTCTAGTATCATATATCAAATTATAGCTAAAATGTAACTAACAAAATTAAGTTTAAAACGGTGATGGTGTCTTTGCCAGATATTGTAAGATTATATTCCTTTATATTTATATTTTGTTTCAACTTGTAAGTAAAGATATACCTGTAATTTATAATATCACTTAAATAATTATTGGTCATTTCTCGAAATTGTAATTATTTAACTTATCCAAAATGCAGGTATATGCTTAATGATAGATTTATATATAGCTATGTTTTATCCTTCCCTTTATTGAAGATGCATATTTCTATTGTTTTCACTTTATTTAGTTACAAAGTGTATTAAGATATATCTATTCTGTGTTGTTGGGTTTATGAATGTATGCAGTTGTGCATATACATGTAATCCACTATAGTATTATTATATATTAGTTTCAGTTCTGAATACTATCATTTATGGCTATAGTTATTGATGATATTCTGTGTATATTTATATTCATCCATATTATGCATTGTTGTTGTAATTATGTATTTTTATGAGAATTATTTTATTTTGTATTGTATTATTATGTACATCTCACATGTTATTGTTAATGTACATATCGTTTGGCATCATGTTGATTCTGTAAGTTATTTTCAGAGCTTCCCAGGGTGTAGCGGAGGGTCCTGGATAAAAAAACCTTGGCTATAGGCATTATTCTATATATACTATTAGATTATTCTCTTTCTTGGTGGTGGTGTGGTCACTTTTATTATTATTGATGGGTTGGGGGAAAATTTTAAATTTCCAGGTCCCTCCCCTTAAAGGAGACCCTGATATTTTAAAAAAAAATATTTATAAATATTATATACTATTCACGATGAGAAATATTTATTATTTTCATATTCTGTAAATATAAGAATTATTTAATTTTCTATGGATATGATTTATCATTCAAAGACTTTTCATTTAATTTGAAATGCATATTGTAGCTTCTATGTTTTATGATTGTCAATATACATTACTGATTGGCATAATCATTATAAGCATGCCTTATTTTCTATCTCTTTCTCTTTCTGCCTTCTATAGGGTGATATTGGTTTGCCAGGAGTTGCTGGACCCAAGGGAGAATCTGGGGAAAAGGGCAAACGGGGCAAAAGGGTAAATACTCAACATGTGATTTTATCTACATTTGGCTTCCATCCTCCTAGTCCCTGCATGATTATTGGTAATTGATTCTCTGCATGTTACAGATTCCGTCGTGTATTTGTCCTCTGTCTGTATGTAAATATTTCTCTTGTATAAAAACCCTGCCATGATTTTGAAGTGCATCATGATAAAGATGTTAGCAATTTAATTTTTTAAACTAAGTTACAATGATATTCCAAAACGGAAATGACAGCACGTTAAACTTGATATTATTGCATGTAATAAGACCCCTTACCATTAATATCACTTTGATCTTTGGTTAATATTTGTTATTTTGATATTTGACTCAAATATTTGCGGATAAATTATTTAATAGAATTAGATTAATTCAAATTTTATTTAAATTTTAAAGTTGATATTTATGTATTGATAATCACTTTTAAAAAAGAAGAGTCAAGAATTATATCTGGTAATTAGCATTTATTGCCTCTTGCCATTCAAATAACATAATATTAGAATATAAGTCAATAGTGGAGTTAATTGTAGAGAATTAAAACCGGTATGTCATCTTCCTGAAATTAGTGACAATAATAGTATCCAGTACTAGCGTTATTGAAAAATGTATCCCAAAATCATAGGAATGGATCAGTTGTAATTAAGTATCTAGAAAACATAGCAATGATGAAACTTTCAGTTTATGTAGTTCAATGTTATTGTTTAGGACTCCATATTTTTGTTGAAGTCTGGTTATATTAAAGGGAATGGAAGCTAATAATTAACCCATTTTTTAACGGGACCTCATCTGACCCAATTCTGGCCGGTTCGTTTCAAAATGCATTAAGAACTCTGATATGTATATATATATATATATATATATATAAACTCATGCAGATCTTTGTAATTCTTGTTGTAAATAGCATGCAAACCTGTCTATCGATAGGGTTAAGTGTTTTCCTTACAATGTATTTAAATTACAATTAAAAAGATGTTGACTTTGTGTGTGTCAAAAGCATGATATGTGTGTATCTATTGTGTTGTCTGATAGATTAACTGGTATTAGTCCCTTGTGTTTTCGTGTTACCCCTTGAATGCTCCTTTTAAGAGAGGTTGAAATCCTAAACATAGTGTTTATTCAGTGTACAAAAAATATTAGTTGTGGTTCTTGTTTTGCATGAATTGTACCCAGTGTTACTATTCCATCTCTTCCCCTCAGATATTTTTTGATTTTTTTTACAGTTATTTAATTGAAATTATTATTTTTTGTCCCCCTTTCGAAGAAAGCAGGGGACTATTAAAATAGGTTCGTCTGCCTGTCTAGCTGTCTGTCACACTTTTTGAGACACAATAACCCTCCTTATAATTGAGCTAGAATATTCAAACTTGGTGTAGATGTTTATTAGGTCAATACCTTGATGGAATTCGAAGATGAGCATTTTCTGCTTAGAGTGAGCAGAGATAAGCAATTTGATTGGTTGATGCTTTGGGACACGGTAACTTTAGTTCTAATTAAGTGAGAGTGATAAAACATGGTGTATAGTTTCATTGCATCAATACCTTGATTAAGTTCGATAATGATCATTTTCTTCTCAGGGTAAGCAGAGCGATAAGCAATTTGATTGGCCGAGACTTTGGAACACAATAACTCTCCTTCTAATTGAGCTAGAACGTTCAAACCTTGTGTAGGTGTTTATTAATTCCATACCTTGACGGAGTTCGAAGATGAGCATTTTCTGCTTAGGGTAAGCAGAGATAAGTAATTTGATTGGTTGATGCTTTGGGACACAATAACTTTAGTTGTAATTAAGTGAGTAGTGATGAAATTTGGTGTATAGTTTCATTACATCAATACCTTGACTAAGTTCGATAATGAGCATTTTCTGCTCAGGTTAAGCAGAGCGTTAAGCAATGTTATTGGTCGATACTTTGGAACACAATAACTCTCCTTCTAATTGAGGTAGAATGTTCAAATTTGATGTAGGCGTTCATTAGGTGAATGCCTTGATGAAGTTCTATGATAAACATTGTCTGCTTCGGTAAGCAGTGATAAGCAATCTGATTGATGCTTTGGGGCACGAGAACTTTGGTTTTAATTAAGTGAGAGTGATGAAAATCGAGTTCATTATATCAATACCCTAACTAAGTGCGATGATGAGAATTTTCTGCTTAGGCTAAGGAGCAATAAGCAATTTGATTGGTCAAGACTTTGTAACATAACAACTCTGCATTTAATTGAGGTAGAATGTTTAAATAAATTTGATGTAGATGTTCATTAGGTGAATGTCTTGACTGAGTTCAAGGATTAACATTTCAAGCTAAAGCTAAATGCTTTGTGACAAGATAACTTTGATTCTATCTGATAGAGAGTGATGAAACTTAGTGTATACTGGTAGTTGATAATCAGTTTGATTGCTTGATACTTTTGAAAAAAATAAATGTGCTATTAATTAATATGTGTCATCTATTTATTTTGGGATTTCGGCGGGGGACATCAGTCTCTCTGTTGGCTTGTTCCTTTTGATTTCTACTATTGAACTTATTATGAATTAAGTAAATGAAGCATTTTTTTACAATTACAATTTTGTCGAATTTCACTGCCCATAATAGCATATTTAGTTACAAGTAGCGTGCATCATTCAATTTTAAATATTAGGGTCGTAGAGGCAACAAAGGTGACCATGGTCCTGAGGGTCGTGTTGGATTCCCAGGCCCACAAGGTCCACCAGGTGAAAAAGGCGATACAGGAGCTAAAGGTAGCATAGGGCTACCTGGTCAACAGGTATGTAAATCTTATTTTCCCAAACCAAAAATGATAAGCTTGTCTGAAGCTCACAGATTAGATATGGAATCTACATTGTTGTTGTGGCTCTTATATTTGATCAGAATTTATTATGACTTTAATTGATCTTAAACAATTCAGTAGAGTAAGCATTAATAAAACCGAAGCCTAAACAGTTATGGTTATAAAATCATTTATTTCTTAAAACTCTACTACAACAGGGTATTCAAGGTTATACGGGTAGAAACGGTGTTGATGGTAGACCAGGAGAACCAGGACCTCCAGTAAGTACTGTTAGGAAGCATTTTCAAAATTTCAGTCCCACTGGCTATCAACCTAACAAGATACATCCAAAACCACACCAATGTCATCCAGACACAAGTAGTAATAGTAATAATGATAATAATTTATTAAACTTATATAGCGCCAGAATCCAGCTGGAACAGCTGCTCTATGGCACTTTTACAATGCTACAATATGAGAATAAGAATATATATATTTAAAAAATAAAAATTCAACGTAAAAAAACCTTAACATATAAAAGACATGCAAAAGTATATCAGATTAATTTTAAAAAAGGCTAAAACATGTTAAGAGCAAAGTAAACTGATAATCAATTAAAAGCTTTAATAAATAACTCTCTTTTAAGATTCATTTTAAAAATGCTGAAACTTGGACTAGTTGTTGTGGTGAGGGACAAATCATTTCAAAGTTAAAGGACAATATTGGTGTCAGTCGTTATCACATATGTGATAAAAATTGGTTAAACACGTTCCAAATATAATTTTAACACAGATCATTGCTACGATAGATGTGTCATGAAGATTTCAAGAAACAGAAGTGACGAATGCAAAAGGAAAATACAAGTTATCATTCTATATAGCTGGCTGAAGTGACACTGCCGAGTGATAACAGCGAATTTTTGCTCACTAATAATTCCTTCGAAGATCAAAAGTTCTTATATGAGACTGTGTGAGGATATCTTACAATTTAAAAAAAATAATTGTCTGTCACTAGATAAGAAAAAATGAGAAAAATAGAAAAAGTCTGGGCATCACCATTTTTTATGTTAAATGTAGAGTGAATAAAAACAAGGGAATGTACAGAATATTTTGAGTAAGTTTTAAGGGATATAGTGTTTTAGAAGGAAGACCAACTATCAGAGAATTACAATAATCCAAACGTGAGGTTATTAGAGAATTTACATGACAATTGAAGTGACAAAATCAACACACTAGAAACAGAAATCCTAGTTTTAACACTGAAATAAGTGGCAATTTTGTCAACTATTGTAGTTGTCTTTTTAGCCATTCATGATAGCCAAAATAGCGTTCTCCGATGAAAAATTTAAACAAAACCAAATAAAAAATTGTTTTGACAATTATTTGTAGCAATTTGGTGTGAATTAAGATTTCGGTGCACCAAAAAAATTCAAATAGTGAAATGGAAGCATCATTTCCTTCCTCCATTTATGACTTTATCTGTGCAGTTGTCACACATGTGAAATTGTCAATGCCATGTGTTGTTGTCGTAGTAGTTACCTCTGGTGGAAATTGGTCTTAAGTGTAAAATTATTCATTACAGTTCAAAATTGAACATAAAATTATCTGAACGTTCATCTGAATAGCTTGATATGAATTACCAATGTAACAGCATTAAGTTAGATTTATTACAGAACAATGTACATCCAGGTAAAAACTTAATGACTTGAATGATGCATTAATCCTTCTGGTTCACTAAAAAAAATTTTTGCATGGAAAATTATGGATCTCAGGATCAATTAAGTACAGTATTTGTTAAAAAAAAAAAACTTTTCTGATATTTGATATTTTTCTTCATTTACAAGATTTTTCTTCAAATTTCATATCTATTTATTAAAAATTCCTTTACCCTTTTTTTTTCATCTGAGAATGCATTTGGATTTTTTCTTAATTTTATTTTTATTGATGGGAATAGCTAAAATAAAACCATTTTGGGTATAAAAGCTATCATTATTTTTACTGCCATTTACGATTTGATGATGAAAAAAGTTTACTTTATAGATTGTAGGCATCAATTATCAATTTTGATATCTGATGATTTTTTGGTAAAAAATATCATTTAATGAGGAATTTTAAGAGGCTTTCTCACTTTGACCATCACTTTGAAGCTGCAAATTATTTTTCATAAGTTACTTAATTTGCCTAAGTTATTGAATTGGGCAAGCTCATACTAGATATTTATTTTCATGGTGAAAGTGATAATGCCCCCTTGACAAAGGATGCATGAGGTGATGATATAATGTGAAGTATTTAATATTTGTGCAGGGTGATAGAGGTGATAAAGGTGATATGGGAGATCAAGGTCCACCAGGTTTATCAGGAATGATTGGACCACCAGGTTTACCAGGTCCTCCAGTAAGTATCCACCATAGACTGAACAAGTATAAACCCACTTTTAAATCAAAATATTATGCTTGCTGATTATTTAATTAAACTGTAATGATTTTTATTTCACTACCCTAAAGCATGGGTATCTGAAATATCACCCTGACTATGCCAAGTTCTGTTATATTCATGTAATGCAAATATATTACAGGGTGAACCTGGGTCATTAGAAGGTGGTATTGGTGGTGGTAGTGGTGAAGGGGTAAGTAGTGTAATTAATTTGAACAAATTTCATGTTGGTATACTTCTTTGCATTTGTGATCAAATTAAATCGTTCATATTACCAGCAATCTTTTAACTATTTGATTCTCAAAATATTAAATATAATAAAAGTTCTTTTAATCTTTATTTTCTTAGTTACCTGGTCCTCCTGGTCCCCCAGGTGTTATGGTAAGTATAGATGTTTTGTTATTATTAAATTCTATAAACATTTGAAAAATATTTGAAATAAAAGAAACACCCAAACTTGGTGCATCTTCATCCTCGATTTTTATTCTTATTTTAGGGTCCAATTGGTTTACAAGGACCTCCAGGAACAAAGGTAAGTTTGGAAGAAATTTATTTTAAGGAAACTTAAATGTACCATTTCTAGTCGATAGTAAAGGTTATAGAAAATTGTAATTGTTAATCTAACTTAAGGTCACATTGCACATGCTTCATGTTATTTGCATAATTAACAAATTTTCCGCGAACATAACTTTTAGGCTAAACAAATCAAATATATTTAAAAGCATTGCAGTTGCACAAAAATTTCTTGACCTTGTAATACTTTATTATATTACTTTGAATTGATTTATCTTTAAGGGTGACCGAGGCCATCCAGGACCAAAGGGAGACCATGTAAGTTGTTTGTATTGTTTTCTGTTTATAAAACATTTACTTAATATAACATCTGTACCAATTAATATTTATATATGATTTTTACATCCAATTATGATTTTTGTGGGGATCAAAATTAAAAAAAATCATCAGGCCACAATTGAAGGGAGTAATTGATGATTTTGAGGTTCTGTGTTATTAATATTTTGGACACATAAAAACTGTTTGCATATAACTTTCAAATTAGCTGTATATAGGATCGATGATAAATAATTGTTTTGTTTAAATAATAAGTGATAAATTTTGCTGTGTCAAGGGGAATAACTCTGAATTAGAATACTAAACCCCTGTTGCTTCTCTCCTGTTGTTAGCAGTGTTGGCGCCAAGGGGGGGGGGGGGGCTACCCCTTGTTGAAGTCTGCACCTTTACCCCCTTAACCTTGGACTTTTCCCCAACTTTGCCCCTCCTACCACCGGCAGCTGGCACTGCCACTGGTTGTTAGCCCTTAAAAATAAGCTTATTAGGTTGATATTGACAACAAAAATTATATTTCAAATAATTTGAACTACTTAATCTATGAACATTTTATTTTATTGACTAGGGACCTAAAGGATCAATGGGAGATAGAGGAATGTTTGGATTGCCTGTAAGTTGTCGCCTGCATGCTGTACCTTATTATAGATATTTATTAGGAGTAGGACTGCATGGTATATGGTGTTTGGGATTACAAAATTTATTAGTTGTAAAAATCATTAGTTGTAAATCAAACGAGGCCATTAAAAGAATTTAAGAAAATTTATATATATTTTTGGAATAAAGAGTTTTTATGAGTGGTGTTTGGGTGCATGTTTTATTGGGATGGAAATCAATTAAGTAAAACTATTTTAATTGTAGTTTTTGTGATTATTGATGATGATGTTGTTTTGTGTGAAGCACCTTGCACAGTGGTGATGTGTGTTGCAAACACTGCACTGTGCACTGCACAATTACATAAGATATTTATTACGAAGCGTACCACTGAATTATATTATTATATTATTTATATCACAGATTATAAAGAATGTACAATGTATGGTTATATTAAAGTATTTAAAGGAATGGGAACTCTTTGACATAGATTAAAATATAGTGTTGAATTTGTGCTGTTAATTACATTAGAGTAGATATAGCAAGAGTCTATTTCAAACCTGATCCTGATAATGGTAAAATGATGCCTCTAGAAAAGCCTATGAATTCAAATGGGTTCACACTTTTAGAACTTTCGTGCCGGATGGTATTAATGATAAGGTATAATATGGAAGGGTCTCAACTCTATTTGTTTACTTTTAGACAGGAGATAATTTACTTTTTCTATTCTTTTTTTTTTACTTACAAAGTCGACTGTTGAATGAAACATCAGTAATTAGAACTTGACATCATTTTACAAATAAATCAATATATCAAATTTAATTAAATGTTTTAACTCATGTCAAAGAGGTTGTCTTCTTTTTAAGTCAGTAAAATATATTTATACAATAAATTGTTTGTAAGGCTGTTGGCACTGCTATGCACTTGTTATATATATGTAGGGATCAATTGGTGCCCCTGGCCCCCCAGGACCCGAAGGGCCCCAAGGAGAAAAAGGGAATGATGGTGCCCTGGGTCCTATGGTGAGTGTTGTCTTAGTGTTGAGAATGTGCATGCAGAACCTTGCATGGTGTTAATTCTTAAGCATGATGGGGCTATTTCAAACTTCTGGATTATGTTTTGATTGTGGATATACACGTAATTACGAATTTGAACAAGATCAAGTCTTATTTCATGTTTCTTGATTAATTATAGTCATGATTAGAGTCAGCTTTTAAGTGAAGTAAACTTAAACACTGAGTATAATTAGGCAGGAAACATGATGTTGCCTTCTAGAACTTATGAATGAATCTTTCTTGCAGCTTTCAAATACACTTCTACTTTCATTTTCTCACATCACTTGCAGTAGTAGTTGGTAGATATTAGTAGTTCAGTCATGCAAAGAATGGAACAATCTTTCTACACTCACAGAACATTGCCTCACCGTTAAAAATTCCTGCCCTGTTGCAGGGAGAATTTTCACAGATGGAAATAGCATGAAAACAGAATAATGACTTAAAATCACAGAATATTTGTCCCTTTCTTCATTCATATTCCATCTATTTTATCGTCTTTTAAAATTTTAAGTTTATATTTTGTTTATTTGCTTGCAGTTTTCTTTTTCTCTTGTAGAATTTATTTTTCAGTATTATTTAAGGTGTATTTATTGTACTTTTTGGTTATTTATTTTTTTTATTTATATTATGTTGTATTTGCATGAATTTTGATATTTTAGTTTGTATTTATATATAAATTATACAATTTGTTTTAAACTTTACTTTGTATGGATATATTTAGAATTAGTGACTATATATCTTTTACTCTTAATACATGATTCAAAATCTTTTAATAGGTTTCATCACAACAGACATAGAAATGGTATAATATTTTAATACGAAAATCTATAATAAATATTTGTTAGATTTATGCATCTTCAATATGTTTAGGATCTAATCTAATCATTTTGTACATGTTTGACTGTGATATTATATGATCAGTATTTAATTTTTTTCGTATTTTTGTTTTTATATTAGGGACCTCCTGGGCCACCAGGTAAAGGTACTGTTGGAATCAATGGAACATGTTCATGTGAAAAAGGAGACCGTGGAGACAAGGGGTCACTTGTGAGTATTTAGGCTATTTCAATTCTTTTAAACATTCTCTTTTTTAAAAATAAAATCAACAAATCATGTGATGAAACCATAGACATTCTTAAGATTTATTTCAGGTTCTTGTCGTAAGCTACCTGGTGATTACCTAATTTTAGTGCAAATATCAACATAACTTGCCGTATACAGGATTACATAAAACAAGTTGACATGACCTCACTAACATTTGAATTTTAGGGTCAGAGAGGTCGGCGGGGTAAAAGAGGTCCAAAGGGAGGAAAAGGAGAGCAGGTTGGTTTTGGAGTTCTGCTGGCATGATCTCCCGACTTACTTTTTTTAACTTTCAGTGATGAGATGAAATAATACACCACCTAACAGTCATTTATGTTTTGTGTTCTCAGTCACTATCCACCCTAACATAAGTTTACAGTCTGTTAATATAGTATTTAAACTTGTTGAGCACCTGGAATTGTTAAAAATTGTGTGTACTGTATATATGATCCCACTTGCATGTATTTAGCTAAGGTGAAAATACTAAATAACTCTCCCATGAGAACACCAAAAATGGAAATTTGAACTTTATTGGTATATATATTTACTTGAGTATATATTAAAGAAATCTTTTCTAAAAATGTCTTGGTTACCGGTAGATATGTCTTTTCTCTGGTTAGTGAGAAATTTTTCCGATCCACCAATGTTACATGTATGCCAACTTTAGATGTAATGGGAAACAGATTCAACACTCGTCTACATAAATTTGAAACAAATATCAAAACAAATTTTCTGTTCATGCAAAAATTTTTTCTTTGTTGGAAATTTGTCTAGTGCTATGTATATTTCTCAAGTTATTTGAACATTTTTACTTGATGATGATTCATTCTGGCAATTCCACCAAAAATGTCTTCCAAACTATTAAAACATGCCTGTTTTTAATTTTATATAAAAGATATAACATTTATTCACACTTAAACTTAAGCATTGGTTTATTTGGATTTTTTAACAGATTAAGGCAGACAAGTTTTGTGTCTTGCTGATCTCAGGATTGAGAGTTACAACTTTTTCTGAACTGAATTCTAAAGTGTGACATTGCAACATGAAAACAGGAGTCTGAGCAAGTAGCGGACTCTCGGTTTTCTGTTTATTATTTTAAATAATATTTTGAAAAAATGATGAAAAATAGTTCTCAAGTTTTGAAGCATGAGCACTCTTTTCACATATCCCCAACATAAGAGAAAAGACAGATCATCTTTTGATATTGCGAGAAAAGCGATTCAATTGTCACTGCGAAACGATCAGTGCAATTTACACTCTTTATTCTAGTTTAAGCATCTTTTCGTTGCAGCGTATACTGTAGAGGCAAAACACTTCTTTTCTTTTCTATGCAGACACAGTCAAAATTTAAAAGATGCCATCTATCATATTTGATAACTAACCAGCAAGTTTGTTTTTATTATGAAGAAAATGAAACTAATTGATAATTTAGTTACCATGGATGGCATTAACAGTCTTGTCATTCGTTATGAAACCATTTTGGACTTTAATTGAGTTTCCTGGGTGTGACCATGGGATCTGTTAATAGTAAATAACAGTTTGTGTTATGAATTGTTATAAATAATCTGCATGATCTGTATGATTTTAATATAATTTGAACTTATTTACAGGTTTTTGATGTTTGTTTCCTAATTCAATGTGTTAATGGCCTTCCACAATATAATATAACATTTCCCTCAGGTTTAAACTTTGGATATATGTATGAAAAAGGGTTCATCATATTCAAGGCAATATGTATGCCTAAACAGTTAAATTTAAAAAAAATAGTCTCACAATATTAGAAAGTTAGTAACATGGCATAAATATTCAGTAGAATAATAGAATGGAATTTGCTCCCAAACCCCTCCATCAGTCTGTAGTCCTATGTCTGAGAAGAGGGGACAGTTTTTGCCTGGACTATTTAGAAGGGAGATAATTGTATTGTGGACGGCCATGTCCTGTATTAATATGTGATATCGAACTTACAGCACGTAGCATGTTTATATGTGTGTGTTTACGTCTGTTTACAGGGTAGAAGAGGAAGAAGGGGGAAACGTGGGCCAAAAGGGGAAAAAGGAGATCAGGTTCGTTTAGTATGGTCTCATTCTGATAAAACCAAACATGTTTGAACCATGAAGTTTTCCCAGAAACATTTTCAATTGAACAAATTTTCTGTCAGAACATTAATTCATGAGGGAATATATTTTAGATCTAGCTTAGACCAAACTTGCAACTGGGTACAAATAGCTGCAAGTATTTTGTGAGTGACTATAAGCAACTGGTGGCAACTGGTAATAGTTGCTGGAAACAGGCTGGTCTGTAAATTGTTATGACTTCCTGGATCTGATTTTTGTGTCCTTCTTTTCTGGATACAGTTGTGTTGAGTTTAAACAAGGGCAGTAATTCTGAAACTAAATGGACAGGAAAAAAAGTGAAACTTTCACCTGTAAGTCTCTATGCAAAATTTTATTAAAATTGATCAGTAACTTAAGACTCATGGTTGAACATAAAATTTCTGGAACAATGCAGTAATTCTGGAACTAAATATATTTTCTGCCTTCTTGTATTCAGACTTGTAAACCCTAATTGTCCAAATCCTGTATTCTATTGATGTTGTTCCTATGAAGATTATTACATCTAACTAAAAAAGGAAAAACAATATTGCATGTTATCTAATCTGTGTGTACAATTTAACTTTCGATTAATAATTAATGAAAGATTGTCTGTGACACAAGGTGCATGGCATGTCATCTCAAAAACATTGTCATGTTCATACTTCATAAACATTTACTTCTAGTGGAGTTTTACTGAACTATAAAACACTATACAAGAGGTTCTGTTTATAATGTAATAATGTATGACAATATTGAAGTAATGATTTCACTGACAATATTGCAGAAATTATTTCAATAAATACAAAATTAATATGTTAAGCTTTGAAAATATTTTTCCCTTCTAATATAACATTCAATATTTTCTTTGTCTTTCTGATATTAATTAGAAAATATTTTTTTTGTGGCTTTTTTTATATTACTTTCAAAATATTTTCCCTTTTCTAATGTAACTTATTACTTTCAAATATTTTTCCCTTTCTAATGTTAATTTGTAAATTTTTTTGCTTTTTAAAAATACTTATGTAACTTATTGCTACATCTCGGACAATATTGGTGTCGGTCATTATCACATATGTGATAGAACTCGTTAAACGCGTTCCAAATATAATTTTAACACAGAGATCATTGCTACAATAGATGCATAACAAAGATTTGAATAAACAGAAGTGACACTAATGGAAAACATGAGTTATTCTTATATATAACTGACTAAAGAAGCGAGCGATAACAGATACATGGTTGAATTTCAACTTACTGATAATTCTACTAAAGATGAAAAGTTGTTATATGAGACTGTGGGAGGATATCTGACAATTCAAAAAAAATAATTGAATGTCACAAGAAAAATAGAAAAGGCCTGTTCATTCCCTTGTTTTTATTCATTCTATACTTAATAAAGATAGGTTGCCAGACAACGAAACATACGCCCACAGCAACTAAATCGTCCGGGCAGTCAACATGGGTTGTCACATATTTTTACTTTTTTCGGTAATGAAACATTTATAATACACTAAAATCTGATTAAGAGCAACAACTCACGAAGTAATTATCAGAAAACTATTAGAATTTGTTTGGTTTTTATAAAGTTCTGCCCCATGCTAACGTTTTGTATGCAAAGCTTTTAATATCATGGATTTAACTGTTCAAGTCATAAAAATTCATTGAAAATCAATATACTTGTTCGTCTCAAGATCTTAAACTCTGTGTATCAATCTGAAGTCAATCAGATTATAACTTTAGCCTTTAGAGCATCAGAAGATTTTGCAAAGTGATCAAGGGCCATAACTCTGGCAGTAATTATCGGAAATCGCTGAAAATCAATAGGCTTCTTCGTCTCAAGACCTTAAACACTGTGTATAAATTTAAAGTCAATCAGATATTAACTTTAGCCTCTAGAGCGTCCACAAGCAATTGTGGACGCCGGACGGACGGACGGACGGGGGCGACGACAATATACAACCACATTTCAATGTGGGCGTATAAAAACATAGTAATGGATGGACTTTTTCTATTTTTTTGTTTTCTCTTATCTAGTGACAGTCAATTCTTTTATGAATTGTCAGATATCCTCTAACAGTCTTATATAACAACTTTTCGTCTTCGAAGGAATTATCAGTGAGCAGAAATTTGACTGTGTATCTGTTATCGCTCGTGACTTCAGTCAGTTATGTAGAAGGATAACTCTTGTTTTCCATTTTTTGCGTCTCTTCCATGTCTTCAAATCTTAGATATGCATCTATCTATCTCTGTGTTAAAATTATATTTGGAATGTGTTTAACCAGTTCTATCACATATGTGATAATGGCAGACACCAATATTGTCCTTTAATCCAGTCTCCACATAATCACAGAAAAGACAGTTATCTCCCTTATATAGCCAGTATCTGATGTGTGAAATATTTACATGTACATACTACACGTATATACAAAATACTTACAATGCATATTGGAAATTTTGACATCAGTGCCAGTGAATTGTACGCTTGTGAAAGTTTGGAATATTTATTTCCTACACTTGCAGCGTGACTAATGATCTATTGGAAAACTAAAACAACACCTTGCTTTTTACCCCTATTTATAAGATAACACACCGAATATTATATAATAATGTCGCAAGCACCTGCCATCCTTTTGCTTATGTTATGCTTATATAACTAACATCTCATGCTACAGGGCAGTCCAGGATTAGATGCACCATGTCCGATTGGTCCAGATGGATTACCCTTACCAGGGTGTGGGTGGCGGGGTCCAAATCAGGTAATCTTTGGTCCGCATGAGCTGTAGGCTGTAAAACTTATATACCTGTATTGTTATTTAAACAGGATTATGAAAAATAAGATCTAGAACTATTGATTTTAGCATGATTTGGTTGCAATGTGAGGTTTTTTGTTTAATTACGCTCAATAACTTTCTGAATTTGTATGTTTTATATACTGCCTATTGAGATGTTTTAATGGCAGACATTTTTGGTATTGCCTGCTTTAATTTCCCCCGACTAATCATCATTCATATTGGTTAATCATTGGAGCTGCATGCATTATTAGTATAACACTTTTTGTGTAATGGATTATCAGATGTTATTTTATAATAAGATCTTTTACGTAAATGTCATAGTATATAAATCTGTTTTGCAATCTGTTTTGTCAATGAATTTGATGATTTGATACACTTAACATGAGAGAATTAGTTTTTATGACATTAATACATAGGCATACATATATAATAGTTTTAGCATAGATTGCAATCATTTTAGCTTAATTGACTCAAAGTCAGAGTTTTTAAAGCCAATAACATTTTTGTGGTACCAGTAAATAAGTCCACACTTGACAACAGCATGTATTAATTTTTTATATGGTATGACTGTATATATATTTACACAGGCAGCAAAAAAAAAAAGGCAAGAAAAATCAATTTGCTGTCATCTTTGTTAATCATTTCTATTAATACTTCTTCTCTCATTCTTTGTGAGTCATTTTCTATACCTAGTAGCTATACTCATTTTAAAGAGCAAATCAGACTATATCTTTGTCAAGGTAGAGTTTACAAGATTCTAACCAACATGCATTTCTCTATTTTAATGTTCAGTCCATCTGAAGATTTATATTGTTTTGTTCAGGCCATGGGCCAAGTGGTTGTTAATGGGACTCTTTGATCTTTCTGCTGACATAAAATAACAAATAAATATAAACTATAATAGATGTTGGAAAATAATCAAAGGGTTACATGTACATCAATGATAGTAAACAATAAGAATATACAGTACAAAAAAGTTGCATATGGCAAAACAAAAATGATTAATTTGTGTTATTTTCATTATGTCATTTCTATATGTTCATTCATAGTATTAAAGGTCCATTTTAAGTTCAAATTCATACTTGTTTAATTTGTCCCAAATAAATCACCATACGTTTGGTGCAATGTAGCCTGGATGTGACGGATGTGCCATTTAAAAACATTTCATTCATTTATTCATTCCATTTCGAGTTCAAATTCATACACACCAAAAATCCCCTACAAAAAGATGATAATCTGTGTTACTTCTTAAGTTCCTGCAAAAGACATAATATTGGCCTCATTTTTAGGTTTTGGAGGTTATTAAGGAGCTCCAGAAACTACAGGGCTGTTTTCAAATTCCATTGCCATAATTTATTTAAAAGATTGATTATTGGGGTATTTTCCACACATGAAATCAATAATAAATATCTATTTGTCCATTGATAACATTTTCATGCCATTAAACAGGAAATGGATCTTTTATCTATAACCTTTTGATATGGGTATACGTACATCTTTTCATTTATTTTGACATTACCATGCACCTTTTGCCACAGAATTATTTGGAATGTTTGGCACTTTTTAGCACTTTATAGCACTTTATCTTATGTTAAAGCATGCTTATGTTATAGGGTTTACCAGGCTTAGATGCGCCTTGTCCAGTGGGTGTTGATGGCTTTCCTATTAAAGGCTGTGGTGCTCCTTCAAGACCGCACCGGGCAAAAGCACGCGGAGTAAGACACCATCATACAAAAAATTACCCGTAGGGCAGCAGGTAGGTTGTCTCCCTTTATTAATGGTTAATGCAATCATTATATTAACCAAACTAACAGGTGGTGTAACTAATATAGTGAGACATTGATTTGTAATTTATTAATAATAAGGATTTGGAAAATACTTCCAGAGCGATACATACATGTTACTTATTGGTCAACTTAAAATCTTACATACCATAGGTACCCAATTTGAATAGCCCATTCTGATATCAGTGTTTTGATGTCTCTTTCGAAAGTAAACAATGTTTTGTGATAAACAAAATACCTGTTGATTAAATTTTGGGTGCTTATTTAAAGGGCACATAAGATGGGCGAGAAACTTTTCGTTGCGTACAGCCAATGGTTACTATATCTACTTTATGGCAAGTTCACACCAATCTGATTGAAATTAATTTAGCTTAATCCCCTCAGACACAGTGACGTCACATTGACTGAATGCATATTCCGAATGTTTATTCCTTATTTACCTATCTACAGACGACAGTGTGTGTATTCATTAACGCCTGACTGATTCCTTAAACATACATTATGCAAGAGCTAAATCTGCTTATTGTAGGTCTTTCTTTATGCCTGAAATGTTATATAAACTATTAATTAGACATTAATTAACATATCCAAATCATAATTAACTCTCAATGCCTTATGTGTTGGGTTTTCACTGGATTGGAATTCAATCTGCTGCTCAACGCTCATTGATGATTAAATCCAAGTACCGTCTTTAGTGATGATGATTGAGGCTAGACTTAAAATTCAAAAGCTAATATCTCGGTTCATAGTGGAGCAATTTAACTGAAATTTTCAACATCATCTATTTTTTAACTATTATAGCGAGAACAGTCAACTCTTTATCTAATCTCCCATAATGTATCTTTAATCCCCTCCTTATTAAATAAAACAATTGATTACAGAATAATTTTTTTTGTAATTTTATTTTAATTTAAGATCCAATTTAGAATTTGTTTTATAATGTCCTAAAGTCCGTTGCTGTAGCCATATCCCTGTGTAATTTTAATCAGAGTAAACCAACAATAATTGGCTTCCGATTAAAACTACAAGATTGGTGTGAAATTGTTATCAGCGGCGCTACGAAAATCTATGAAGCCAATTTGAAATATTTAAATGTGGGATTTTAAGAGGTGAAATAGTTTCAAATCATAAAAATTTAGAGCATTGTGTTTTAAAGTGACTTTTTGATAGAGTTCCTCTACGGGTGCAGTCCAAACGATTCGATATACATTTCCTTCAGAAGAATATTATGGTACTAATTTCCCAGAATACAGGAGTAAAATGATGTGTTCATGCAAAATGCATCATAAAAGTCAAACATGATTGAAATACGATTTGTAAATGACAATCCATTATCAGAGTAGCCAACCGTATCTCATTTTCCGGTAGCCATTGTATGGTGCCTTTCTTTCTCCATGTGGATTTGACTTACTCTGAAATAGACCGTAAAAATGAAATATGAAAAAATATCTTAATATACATTAGAATTGACAGTAGAAATAAATTTGACCTAATTAATTTTGTTGGTAACCATCTAAATCGAATAACAAGATTGAAAAGGGGCATCTAACTATCTTTGTGTATTAATAATAATATGGCAAGGTGGAAGCGGGCGTAAAACCCCACGAATGAACGAAAAAAGTTACGGGCGAACCTTTCGGCAAACGTTTCTCCACACCATCTTAATGGATCTATGGCATGATACAGCATTTTAAAATTCACTCTAAAATATTCCAATCACAAATGTCTATAACAATGCAAGACGATAATTCGTAGATTATAATTAGGCCAGTCATACGTTAATTGGACCGTCAATAAACACTTGTCAACTGATGGTGTGTATAGTCAGTGATATATTGTATAGGTAGTGATATATTGTATAGATAATGTGTATAACTATGTGTAGTCTTGGTGAAGTCCCCTACCAATCAACCGGATTAACGGTGTAATTGAAAAATTGAAAAGAGTTTTTGAGTGTCCGATACTTAAACAAATAATATGTTGAATAATTTTAACCGGATTGATGTGAACTTGCCGTAATGTGTATATAGTAACCACTGGCTATAAGTACATAAAATCTAGTTTTATCACCTTATGTGGTCTTTAACATTATTGAGATATCTTATGATTTTCAATTTGTAAAAATTCCTTTTCATTTCAAAACTACTTGTTGTAAATATGGTATATGTGACATTTTGGTGACATGTAATCTTTGAATGTGGAAGGATTCGGTAATTACTTTCTTCAACCATCTCTATATAAGCATCAGTGAAAGCTATTTGAATGTAAGGTGTTTATGGCCAGTTATTTTTAGCATTCTATTCTATAGTAAAGTTTATTGTATTAACTATTGTGAAATATAAATTTGAAATAATATGAGCAAGGACATGTATATTTTAACAATGCATATTATGTGCATATGAATAACAAAAAAATATATTGTAATATTAACTATGAGTAAAAGTACATGTATATTTATTTAATGCATGTCTGCAATAATAAATTGTCATCAGTATCACATGAGTAGGACTTGGGTATTTTAGTCCACTATGTCGCATGTTAGAGGAAACCTGTTACATTTACAATAATGTTTTTCCTTGAAATACATCACATGCTATTAACATTTATATATATTATCTGTAGTTTATTTCTGAAGTGAAATATTTATTTTTCTTTGCTGTTTGTAATACATATATATTATTATTATGGCTGGAGCACGTTGAAGATTTTAATGGGTTAAATAATTAATTAAATGTGCACAAAATGAAAATAAATATTTTTGTATGTGCACCTTTTGAAATTTAAGTTGTAAGTCAGATCACTGAATCCTTAGATTGCTATACTGGTCTAAGCTATTCTAAGACGTTTTGTTTATGAATTAATCGTGGAGTTATTGCTCTTTGCACTAGTTTTTTCTTCCAAACTAGCTAGGAAAGGATAAATCTTATTGAAAATCAGTATTGCATTTCAAATTATTTTTCGAAACCAGGTTCCAACCTCCCAAAGTATGAACACTGTTGACTGATCCATGTGTACATTATTTGCAGCACAATTGTCCCAGTCATCTGAGCTTTGTAAAGTGTCACATTATCTGAAAGTTCTGTTGATTGTTCAGGATTGTTCAACTCGTCAACACTTTATAGATAGAGCTTAAATAATACAAATGTTGGTAGACACATGTTTTGTTCAACAACTGTTTTTAAGATGCAACCACAGCAGCTAAATCATCCGAGCAGTCGACAAGGGTTGTCACATATTTATGCTTTTGTAGGTAATCGTTTACACGACACTGATATCAATTTCATACAGATCAAATGTTCACAAGCTTCAACAAAGTGAAACAAGGGTCATAACTGAAGAAGTTATTATCAAAAATTGCTTAAATTCAATAGGCTTCTTCGTTTTACTAATCTCAATAATGCATTTAAATTTAATACAGAACGGATGATAACCTTTGTTATTAGAGTCTTCACTAGGGGTTCAACAAAGTGAAACAAGGACCATAACTCTGGAAGTAATTACTGGAAATTGCTGAAATTCAATAGACTTTCTTCGTTTTACTAATCTAAATAATGCATATAAATATCATACAGATCAGAGGATAACTTTAGTCGTTACAGAGTTCATAATGTTCAACAAAGTGAAACAAGGATCATAACTCTAGAAGTAATCAACGGAAATTGTTGAAATTAAAGCGGAAATTTAAAATTTTTAAGTTATATTTTTAAAATTTATTAAAATAAAGCCTTAAAATAGATGGTATCCATAAACAGTCCTACCTTGTTAAAGAATAATCCTATTAATCCTATAATTCACTATTGCCAGTTGAGAAATTGGCAAAAATATCATTTTCCTCTTCAAATTCAAACGTTGAGGAAATGGCTGACCATTGTTTTCAATAGGAAAACAAGGGAGGTAATTGTGTTGTTATTTCCTGTGTAAATGAGATTTAAGTGTGAGAATGACACCTATGATCGTATAATAGTGAGTTGATAACCTATTGAGCAAAAGACAGAAATAATTATGTTTCGACTTTCTTAGAAAATATGAAATTCTCGCTTTAAGTTTAATACAGATCAGATGAAATTAAATAGGCTACTTCATCACACTAATGTAAACAATATAATTAAATTTCAATCTGATCAGATAATAAATGTAGTCTGTAGATTGTTCACTAGAAATTGTGGACGGACGGACCAAGGCGATGTAGTTACTGCAATGTACATGAAGGGAAATTTTTCAGGTTTTGGTAATGCCTAAGTTTACCAAAGTCCAGAAATAACCTAGTTAATGTTAAGTGAAGGTTAAAGATTATTATCTCACTCCAATTTTATTACATTCTTGTGAAAAATTGTTACTGGGTAACTTCATTTTAACATGCCAAGTAGGTTAATTATGTCCATCTGTCCTTTGCACTTTCTGGAACAGTATAATTCTGCTTCTAATTGAGGTAGTATGTTCTAACTTAGTGTAGATGTTTGTATTGTGAATTTTTTGACGGAGTGCGATGATGAGCATTTTTTATATGCCCACATGGAAATGTGGTCGTATATGGCCGTCGCTCCCGTCCGTCCATCGTCCACAATTTTTTGTGAACACTTCTATTATCCGATATTTTTTAAATTTATATACGTTGTATATGATAGTGAGACAGAGAAGCCAATTTTTGTTAATTACTTCTAGAGTTATAGCCCTTGTTTTACTTTGTTGAACCTTGTGAACACTCTATTGACATGATCTGTATGGAATTTATATGCATCATTTAGATTAGTGAAACTAAAAGAAGCCTATTGAATTTCAGTAATTTCTGTTAATTTCTTCTAGAGTTATGGCCCTTGTTTAACTTTGTTGAACTATGTTATCATCTGATCTGTATGAAATTTATATGATAGATTTAAATTAGTAAAACAAAGAACCCTATTGAACTTCAGCAATCTCCGTAAATTGCTTATAGAGTTCACGGTCTAACGACAAAAGTTATCATCCAATCTGT